GACAATTAGGCGTTGCCAGAATTCTGTTTTATTTATTTAAGACCTTTCAGACTAAATAAAATCATAAGTGTTACATATGGTTAAACTCGCATTGAAAAGGAGATTCCAATAATGAGTGAATATACAGGGCGATGAATTTGAAAAAACAAAGTTACTAATAATATAAGAGAAACGACAAATATGGCAACATTCCAAATATCAAATATGGAATCTTTATATCCCAAAATAGGTTGTACCTCAAATTTTTTATAATTATGTCTAATAATTTACGATACAATAGGCCGTTTCCAGACTTTTGGACCACTCTGTATTTTTAATTAAAATCGAGCTAATTTGCCTGGTCTAAAATAAAACGATTTAAGAAAAAACCGTTTGTTATTACTAGGTAATAATAATGTTTTGATAGAATTCTATTAGTAAATAATTGAGTGATACGTTAATGGAAGTTAAGCAAAATATTTTTATAATTTAGGAAGCAAATGTGCATTACTCCATCACGAAAATCTAATATTTTCCATGCAGAGGCAGGTTCAATCTTACGAGGCTTGTATATAGAGCAATTAATCTTACGTCATACAGTACCTAATAACTTTTCATTTTATCCTCCCGGCTAAAACTGAAGCAACCAATTTCATGTGTTATCATTTTAAATCGCATTACATTGAGCTGCTTTCTCGTTTATCATGGGAGCAGAGCGTCGTTTTCCTTTTTCTTCCGCCATGTTCTCTCCTTATGGATGTTTAGCGGCTTTTAAAAACAAAATAAATCGGAATTTAATCCTTCTTTAATATCGGGCATATTGGAAAACAATTCGGTATTGGGTCGGAAAAGAAAATAAAGACGTGGTGATAGATGACATCAAAAACTCGTTTAACAAAGAGCGTCCCGGTTTACGAGCGGAAAAAAGGTAAAAATTATTGGATGCTTTTCGCGATTGGCTGGCCTTTTTGGCACATCTATTGATGAAGTTATATATGTCTTAATTTATTATTTTGCTAAATAAAATCTATAAAAAACAATAATATAAATTAATAGTTATTTATTGTACAAGACGATAAAATTGTACTTTATCTTCGAGAGCGTTTTGTAGCGTCGAGCCGTCAGTCGAGACGCTAATTATGCTCGAGAAGATAATGCGCTTTTATCGTCGTGTGCAATAAAACATTTTTTTTTTTATAAGGTAAGTTGACCAAATAAGGCCCACTTAATGCTTGTTAGTTGTTTTTTGATAAATAAAATCACGATATAAATCTGAAAACCACAGAGAAAATAAATCACATATTTAAATTTAATGTGAGATTGTTAAATTTTGTTAAAAGTTTTATGAGTTGTTACTTTTTAGTCTTTAAAAAATAGTTGCTTCTGAGCCTAATTAGGAACACCATGTTCTTAATAAGGCCCACTTTTTAAATGTGACCATTATGCCTAATTGCATCAACAGATCTTCAGCTTCAGTTTAGCCCAGTTCAGCTTATGTCGCATTGACGTTCCACGTACGTCTTAAGCTTAAGGTCTATTGGTGCAACTATACATTAATCAAATTAAACAAAGGTGACATGTAGGACATTTATTTTGTAAAAAATAATAGGTACTTAAAATAATTATTGCAAACAGTCTGGACATATGAAAACTAAGTCTTTATCATCTGCTGAAAGTCCTACACACTCTTCATGGATATATCTTTTGCAGCTGTCACAAAGTGTCATATCCTTAACGACATCCTCATTGCAGATGAAACAATACCAACTATCTTTTCGTTCTTCTTTGTTTTTTGAGGTTTCAAGTGAGCTGTGTTTATTTTTCTCTTCTGCTTTTTTTAGTTGTTTTTTGACTATTTTTCCGTTTGCCAAGTTTTTTCCTTTTCTTGATTGGTTTTTAGGGTCATTTAAAACCAGCTTCATCAAACAATGATTTTGTGACTTCCTGTGCTCGATAGTTCAGGGATTTCTTTCTAGCACCTTTGCGTTTTCCAGTTTCCAATTCTGGTGTTATTAACACTGCGTTAAAACTTACTGACATTTCGTTTTCTTCTACTGAGCTGTCATGTACTGAAAATTCATTGTCAGAACCGTCAGAACTCTCAGAGCTATCTTGCGTATTTTTCTCCTTTAGAGCTTTTACTTTCTTTTTTCTGTCTGGACTGGAGCTGCCAATAGGATTATTCGTTGCGGAAGTCGAAGCTGATGGAATAGCAGAATCTTCCGAGTCTAATTTATTTTCTGTTATTTCTGATGGGCAAAAAGCTATGTCAGGAATGACACTCGGATCATACGGGTATATTCCCGTAGCACGAAAACCTAAAATAACATTTGATGCTGTAGTTGCTTTTGGCCATACTTTTGAGAAAATTGTGCCAAACGAAAATTTATTGATCGTTCGATCTGGTTTATTTGTCCAGTAGGTGATAACTTCGTCGTCCCAGTAAGATTCGAAGGCTTTAAATACCGCCTTGTCCATAGGTTGCAGTTCATGTGTGCAATTACTTGGCAGGCAAAAAAAGCGTAATTCCATGCGACTCGGCTTCATCAACAATACCTGCATCCAGATGGGACGATGCTCCGTCAAAAATAAGCAGTATTCTTCCTATTGGCTTGTACTTAGCAAAATGTTGTACCCACTTAATGAAAACTGGCGTAGTCATACTTCATTTCTCGGTCATTTCAATAACTGTTCCAGCAGGAAGATTGTCATACCATTCATTCTTCTTTCTTTTTCCTTTGAACAAGATCATAGGTGGAATTATTTGTCCTACAGCATTTCCACAACCGACGATTGACACATTCTCAGCGTGCTCTTGCAAAATCAAATGAACTCGTTTGACACCTTTACGAGCATATACCTGTTGTGATTTATGAAGGTTTAGGCGGCAACCTTTCTCGTCAATATTAAAAATGCGTTGAAAGCTTTGCAGGTTATCAAGCTTCAACATAACTTCGCGTATCTTTTCAAAATAGTCATTGACTATGAATCTGTTTAATTTGGTGGCTCTAGCTGGATTCATGAATTGAGATTTTCTTTTAACTACTTCGGGATGTCGATTTAAAAAAAGGTTGAGCCATTTTCGACCAGCTAAGTGTTTATTGATAAAAGGTGCAGATATGCCATTTCTTTGGCAATATTCATGGACAGAACGTCTTATCACTGTTGATGTCAGAGGCATTCCAACGTCAGCTAGCCTAAAATTCTTCCACACAACTCAGATTCTTGTTGGGGGTTAAACATAAAGGGCGCCCAAGTTTCTTTTCCGCTTTTCCACTAAGCAAATGGCATCTTAAGCTTTTTAGTATTCTTTCTGAAACAAAGTTAAAAACTTATAAAACGTGTTATTGTAGTGGTCTTAACAAGGCCCACCCGTAGTCTTAATAAGGCCCACCCGGGCCTTATTAGCAATACTGTAGATGATCAATGTTTTTAGAAATTACCATTATTTACGTTTTAATAAACATAAGGTAATTCAGGTACTATGAAAGTACAACTAATAAGCACACAAATGTCATGCAAAATAAAAAAAATCGCACTCATAATCGTATTAAATTACAAAAGCATACTAACCTAAATATTAGATTGGATGTTTACCCATTGACCACTGTAAACGAATGATCATATAAAAGCGACAGTTCGCGTCGCTGCTCAACTTAGTGTAACAATTGGCACCTAGATGGCTCTACTGCATCTGTACATTGCAGCATACTGCCATTATTTGTCCATCCTGAGGAATATGGGCGAGTGGGCTTTATTAGGAACCGGGCTTTATTTGGCGAACCTACCTTATAGCAAGACTTCAAGTTCAGGTGAAACTTAATGTGTTAATTTGTGATTTTGTACATTTTATTAAATAAAAAAAAGTTAAAACATTTTATCTACTCTTGCTGTTAAAGTGTCACTTTATCTACCCTTGCGGTTAAAGTGATACTTTATCTACTTAAAACAGTTGTTATAGCAAAATTTTAACATTAGCTATGGAAAAAATTTCTTTTACTTTCACACTAATGTGAGTAAGTTTGTCACTTGGTCTTTTTTCTAATCAAACAATATATGATTTTATTTTGTTACAGGTGCTTCTTGGCGGTGGTCGACGACATTGGCTGCCTAAAGTTGCTCACGATCCAGAAATGACAAAAGAAGAAGGTAGACGACTTGATGGGCGAAATCTTATTGACGATTGGGTGCGCGATAAAAAGAAAAGAAGTTTGAAGGCACAGTATGTATGGAACAAAGGACAACTTGATCAGATAGATCCTAATCAAGTTGATTATCTCTTGGGTGAGTGTAAATGTTGTGAACAAGAAAAATCATTTAATGTTTGGCAAAAGACGGTAAAAAATTTGTAAAGCGTCTGATATTTTGATAAAATCTAGCAAAAAATTGGATATTCATTATATGTGGGGTAGAGTGCTTTAAGAATGCGCACTTAAGGTTTAAACAAGTTTTTAAACCAATTGCGTTGAA